AAGGGTATAGTTTCTTAAAGAGAAAAGAAGCTATACTTACCTCTTGGACACCGCATATACCTATGAAAGGATTCCCTATGCCATGTCGTCGTTATAGAGTAAATTAAGAAGGCTACTACTCTGTAACAATATCTATAAAATCACATTATATAAAAATCTTTTTAAAATCACACCTATATTTATTTCTATATAAACATATCTCTTTACAAGAACATTTTTTAAAAAAGTTTCTATCTCTCAAAAGTGAAATTATAAAGAGGTATGACTATATATAATATCTTTTTTTGGTTTAAAAAATTACTATTTTTTTATATTGTAAAAGTAGAGAGAAAAAGTGTTAATTAGTAATCAAATTTCTTTTATAGTAAAATAAATTAAACCTTGATTAGTTTTTTATTATTACTATTGATATACTTTTTATTGTTCAAATAAAATTACCAAAATCTTATACCTCTCTAAGTGCACGCCCTTGGGAACACACTTTAATAATGTGCATAAAGAGACTAATAAGAAAATGTGCATTTATAGATGTCAAATATATATTTGGGTCAGCATTTAAGCATGCATTTAGAGAGTGAGTGCACTTATAGAGAGTGCATTTAGAGAGGTCTGACTGTATATAATATATGATGTTAGAATAGCAAATGTCATAACTATCATCATTTTACTCTAAAGTTTTTCCCACATACTGGTCACAGTTTTTGATAAAAGGTAACTTTAATCCAAATGTCATAATACAGTCAGACCTCTCTAAGTGCACCCTCTGTTGGAGACAAATAAGGATGTGAAATGAATTAAGAAACCAATCAAACTACAACAAAACCAAAACAATCACACAACAGAACCAAAAGCAAGAGGTGGTGATTTAGATTTGGCAAAGGTAAGGCGAATTGGTTTATTATGGGTATGTATTTTGGACAAAATGAGTGACTTATTATACAAAGTATCAGTTTTTATTTAAATTGTGCCTTTTATTATTTTGAAGACGTGCTTCAATGCCTTTACAACTGTAGCAAATTGCTACTCTATTTATACAAAAAAAATAGAAGAAAAATGAAAGGAAAAAAAAAATGAAAGAATACTATAGAATTCTGAGTCTTGCCCTTTTTGTCATTTTTCATGATGTTTTTGTACCCTTTGCTTAATTCTTTTTCCCACGCTAATATTAGTGGCATTCTAACACTGACACATCTTTTTCCACTTTGCCCCATACTAGTAGATGATCTTTAGGCCATCTTCTCTTTTTTAGCCATGCTTGGTTATTCTTTTACAGAAGGATGAGCCTTCTACGGACTTAATTTTTCTGATTTCCTGATTTACCTTGGTCTTGGGATCTTTACAGCCTCAAATTCACCACAATTTAGCCATTATTCAGCCAAGGTCCTCTCCCGAAGGCTGATGTGGCAATGTCTCAATTAGGACTTTTTAGAACTTTGCCATGTCTATTTTTATTTGGGGCAAGTTATGCCCGAACACATGATTTAGTTTTTTTTTTTTTTTTTATATATGAGTATCAATTTTGCCGTAACAATTCTCCCCTACTTAGTTTTTCACATCTCGTAGAAAATCAAGCTTACTTTTATATTTTGGTACTACAGTACTACAAGGTACCAATCGATCTATCCTAATCGGGCTTGATTAATGCACAACTCTCTTTTATGGAAATTCATTGTTTTCTACTACGGGATCTTCTCTTTCATAATACTTCTTAAGCAAACTCAGGTTAAAAGCTGCCAAATCAACTTTCTCTCCAACATCCTTAACTTATATGAGTCGTTGGAGAGCTTGTTGTGCACATAGTATGAGCCAAGACATTTTGGGGCAAATTTATCACTTCTGGAGTACTTCTTTTTTGCATCCTCCAAGAGGACTTTTTCCCAATTTCGAACCCCACACTGATTTGATATTTCTGGTCATGGTAGATTTTTATGGTCTTTTGTTTTTGTTTTACCTTTTCCACTGCTTAATTTCAGACAATAGATACCTTGTGTACCAGTTTAAACATTCTTTGAAATATTGTATCTTCCAATAATGTCTCTGAGCAGCTGGAATAAACTGGTTGTCTGGCCTCATGGCTATATACAAGAAAGAATAGAGTCATATGGGTAGTGGAATTTTGGGCTGTACAATACACAAAGAGGATCGAGGGGACCAACAAATCCCAATCGACAACATTTTTGACCAACTTACTTATTGCCTCATATAGGGTTTTATTAAACTTTTCAATCAGACCATTCATATGAGGGTGGTATGGGGTGGAAAAATGCTGCTTTACCTTCATTTTTTCTAGGAGAAGCTTAATGATATAATTGCGAAAGTGGGTGCCACAGTCAGATTGTATATGATTGGGGCATCTGTGGCAGCACACAATGTCATCAAATATGAATTCAGCCACAGTCTGGGCATTGGCTTTTTCTACTGCACAGGCCTCAGGTCAATAGGTCATATAGTCTGTGATGACTATAATATACCAGTTTAAGCATGGTATACGAGAGAGGGGCCTACAAAGTCTAACCCAATTTTAAAAAATGGGCCCAAAAGGAAATTGGGTATAAAGCATCTTGCATATGTGGTCGGGCCCTTTTTTGGTATAGGTCGCACATTTGCACATCTGGGGCCAAAAGTATATATTCCAGATCTTTCCAAACATTACATTCTTATTGAAATGGCTGACTAGCATATGCATATGTACCAAGAACAAGACTGGATCAACCTCGTGTCTTCGTAGCACCTTAAGCAAGTTTTCTTTTTTTTAATAGTCTTTACAAAAAGCCTTCATAGACCTTGTAGAGCTCTGATTTTTTGGCTAGCTTCTGCCTCTGTTTTTCATCTAGGGTAGGTAGCAAATATTTTATATCAAGATACTAAAATAACTGCTGGTAGTATACAGGATCTATAGGGTATAGAATTTATTATTATTATTATTATTATTTTATTTAGATTTATTTATATATTTGGAATAAAAAAGAAAATCGACTATACTATGCCTACGGTTAAATTTATTTAATTTCTAATGTGTGTTAACGGAAAAAAAAAGAATTATTAGAAAAGCCAGAACACTGGTAACCTAGTTTGGATTTTTAATTGAACCGGATTTTTTTTTTTTTTATATTTATTACTTTTTTTTTTGTGTAGGTGTGGATGTTACTAACACTAATCTACTACTATGAGTTGCGACTCAAATTTTTCCTTAAAATCATCTAGCATCGCAACTGGTTCAGAAATCCTAGACAATACATCTGTGTTGTTATGTTTTCGTTCATGGCAGTGTATAATTTTAAAATTATACAGTTGCAACTGCAATACCCAGCGAGCTTTACTGCCAGTCAATGCAGAAGTTTGTAGCCACTTCAGCGCTGCATAATCAGTGACAACAAAAAAGTGATTCAAGCCAAAATAGTGGCAAAAATATTCGATTGCATATAAAACGGCAAGGCACTTGAGGTTAGTAGTACTATAGTTTTTTTCGGGCTTTGTGAATGCACAGCTGGCATAGGCCACCATGTATTCTTTTCCAAGGTCATCTTTCTGGGCCAACATGGTGCCCAAACCGGTTCCTGAAGCATCAGCATGTATAATGAAAGGTTTGTTAAAATCAAGGTATCAGAGCACAAGTGCCTCTGTCAACTGGTACTTTAATCAATTAAATGTATTCTTTTGCTCCTGTTTTCACTCAAATTGGTAGTTTTTCTTTAAAAGTTGATGTAGGAGGCGGGCAATCAAAGCAAAATTCGGAATAAACTTTTAATAAAAGGATGCAAGTTCTATAAACCCGAGCAATTGTCACAGATTCATGGGAGTGAAGAACTCCCAGACCTTTTTTATTTTTTCAAAATCAGGACGAATACTGTCCTGTCCAACAATATGCCCCAAAAACTGGAGGTGGGCCAAAAGAAAGAGCACTTGTAAAAATTTATTTTTAGTTTTACAGCTCTTAATCTAGCAAAAACAGCAGCTATATGGTGGGAAAAATTATAATATCATCAAGATAGACTATGATGAATTTTTCAATAAAATTAGCCAATATATAATTCATCATCCACTGGAAGGTGGCAGGAGCATTACATAGACTAAATAGCATAACTACAAACTTGTAAGTGCCAAACAGGACTGCAAAGATGGTCTTTTCTTGGTCCTTTTTGCTTATTTTTACTTGCCAGTACCCTGACAACAGATCCAAAGAAGAAAACCAGGCAGCACGACCGAAAAACTCAAGAAGGTCATATATTCGGGGAAGGGAGAACACATCCTTTTTTGTTACTGCATTTACTTTTCAGTAGTCAATGCACATATGCAGTTTTTCACTCTTTTTAGAGACAACTACAACAGAGGACACCTAGAGACTTTTCGAGTCTCTTACCAAACCTTTCACTTTTAATTGTACTATTTCCTTCTTAATGAAGGCTCACACACTAGGAGCGGTGCAATATGGTGCCTGTTTAATGGGGAAGGCCATACCAGTATCTATTTCGTGTGTTACTAGGTTTGTCTAGCCAAAGTCACTTATGCTACTAGTAAATATATTTTTTTCTGCAAGAAGTGTAGTTAGAGCTTTTTTATTTCCTTTTGGGTCTAAGAATACATCTCTTAGGGGAAGGACAGAAATCACCTAATTTATTAGGGGGTGGAGGGGTTAGGATTCAATTACGTTTATACTATGTCTCATTAATTTGACCAATAAAATTGTACAATTCAGTCAAATCACAATCTAATCAGATTACATAATTTAATTAATCAAAATTATTTTTCGAGATTTATTTGATTAATTCAAGCCACAGCAATTAATTTATTGAAAGTTTGTAATTGTGCATTACAAAAACAAATATAATTTAAACAACATATTATAAAAACCATTATCTCAGATTACAAGTTATGAAGACAATTTGTATATTAATTATTTGTTAACTAAAAATAATGTATCTAACAAATCTATATTTTTTTTAAAAAAATAACATTTTATTCATAATTCTGATCAAGGTTTGTACTTTTTATATAATAATACTTTGACTAATTTCTTTAGCGTAAAGTTCCTCTTGAGTCATATTTGTATAGATAAAAAATGTCTTAAAGGTTTTTTATTTTACTAAATGTGGCAATTATATAGCTTATTTAAATTTCAATAAATTATATATATTTATGTTAAAATTATATATGTGTAACTCATAGCTAAATTTCATAATTCGAAAAATAATTATTTGAGTCATGAGTTGATGAGTCTAGTAATTAATCAACAGGAGGAACTATTGATATTACACGATTAATCCTTCACCCGGAGTACAATATATAAAAAAATTATTTTACAATACCAGATCATTCTACTAGTACATGGTATGATTATAATCCCACATTATTTTTATTATAATAAAATGGTGTAGGATTATAATTATAACATGCATTAGTGGAATGATTTGGTATTGTAAAATAAATTTTTTTATATATTGCACACTAGGTGAAGAATCAGTTGTATTACATCGACATTTAATTAATCAAATCAAATCGCTTAATCTAATCAGATCTATAATCAATCACATGTCTCAAATCTGCGCCAAGTTATATCAATCACTGAATCAAAAGAGATTAAGTGCAGATTTTAATTTACTTTATATTTAATATTTAGTTGTATCCATATATCTAAAATTTTGTACCAAAAACTTTTGTTTAGAGGTCAAACTATAGTTATTATAGTAAAATCTTGAGTTATTTACAAATTTTCTTATTCTCAATGAGAAAGCGAAAAATTCGTAAATAACTTATAATAATCATAGTTTGACTTCTAAAAAAAAGTTTTCAGTACAAAATTTTAGGTATATGGGTATAACTAAATATCAATATAAAGTAAATTAAAATCTGTACTTAATCTCTTTCGATTCATTGATCGATATAACCTGGTACAGATTTGAGACATGCTAATTAATCAGATCATTACATGTATATAGTAATGCTACCAAAGTTTTAAAGAATAAATATTTCTTGCAAATTTTAGCACAAATTCTAAACATAGTTTTAATTTGTCTTTAACCCATAATGTGATGATAGTAAAATAGGATGCACTAAATGTACTAACATGCTATTTAATTTTTCAAGTATAGATAAGTTATTTTTTAAATTAAAAAATTTTATTTATACTATGAAAACACTAATACAATATATTATTAAAAGATTTTACAATCAGAAAGGCCTTGTTCAAAAACAATTTCTTTATATAATTTTTGTGATTGAACAAAATCTTCATATATTGCAGAATTAGAGGGCGTGTTTTAAAAAAAATCTGGGATAGAACTTTGGTTTTTACAGTTTAAATGTTGAAGTTTATGTTTTTAAATAAATTTTAAAGTAGAGAAATACTTTTTACATCTTGAACAACTTAAGCATTGATGCATTTCTGCTGATATTGAGGGACAATGCTTGTCATAAGGAGGAATTTTAAGTTTATCATAGTATTCAAGAATATGAATAGGGTTCAAAAAATGTCAATCACATCCTTGGATAACAGGAGGTAAGAATCTATTATTTTCTTGCAATAAAGCAGCTGCTTCTGGTGCCCGAGAAGGTTTGTAACAATTTTTATCATGATATTTTTTGATATCAAGTAAATAACGACAAATTTGGCAATGTTCCTTAATCCACTTCAATGAAATTTCTTTATTTTTAAACATGTCATCATGTGTATCTAAATATTTAACCTGTACAGATTTTTTACAAATCTTGTCACGTTGCCAAATATTACAAAGTTTTTCTCCTGAAAAGCAAAAATTTTTTATTGCTAATTCTTTATCAATCACTTTTCCTTGTGAGTTGAGGTGAGTATCAAAATGGTCAATAGGTAATACAATACTAGCTAATTTGGATGAAAGGGAGGCCATGCCACGTTCTACAGGATTATAAGAAGATTGTCCTGGTGCATAGGTATGGACTAAAAGATAATCAAAATCCAAAAAACAAAAGAACTTGCAATATTCTATAATATTTTTTAAATATTTTGGATTTTTGTTCGGTCCACCATCTACTAACAAAATCTATAATGGTTTAACTTTGCCTTCTATATAAATTAGTTCATTATATTCTTTAGAATTTATAATTGAAACCAGGTCAGCTATATGAGTTGCCACAGTAGTACCTACAAAATATTCAGGCCGAATATAAATTGAAAGATGCCCTGAGCGAAAGTTATCATTTGTATCTTTTGGATTAATTAAAAGATATACAGAGGGTATAAGTTTCATTTTATGTCCCAAAGGAAAATTATGATTAGGTATAAAAACAGGTTCATTAATTGTTTCAATTAATTTAAAAGTTCGTCCAACAGCTGGAATTCCTAAGAGAACGTTTGCTTTATTATCTTGAGATATGATTATAGAATAATCAGAAAATGATGAAGCAAAAGTTCGAACACCCTTTACTGAAGCAAGTCAATAGTGGCTATTAATATGATTGCATTTTTTATTTCATGATACTGACCGAATTTGGACTATTGCAGGATGGTGATGCCACTTTGCTGAAAAAGTGTTTGGATATTTAGGCCAAAGATAAGTTGACAAAGTTTGTTTGCTTATGTAAAGTTTATATTTTTTTTCAAGTACTGTTTTTAAATGAGTAATAGTTCTAACTTTAATTATAGATTTTCTACACTTTTGGTTAGCCTCACCAAATTCAACACAATCGTGAATATTTTTAAGAAGGTCTGGATTTTGTGCAAATAGTGATGGTCTTCCAGGGCTATCCCATTGCTCAACAATGCCTGCTTTACTGAGTTGCTTTTGTTTTTTTGCTACAATCCTGGCTTTATTATTTGCATATCGTTTAAGTGCATCAATATTTTTTGAATATTCATTAATAATAATTTTGTTTTCATGCATTCGAACAGAAAGATTGTGCTGAATATTTATATCTGTAGCTAAATTAAGCAAGAATTCCAATTTGATAATTTTTGCTTTTGCAGTTTTAATTTTTTCATATTCTGTTTTTTGAGCAGCAGCATTGGGGTATTTTATATTCATGAGATGGTGAGAAAATAGAAGGACATAATACCAGTTGATTTAAATGAGTTGGAGTTTTACTCATACTCATGTTTTTTGCAAAACCAAATGTCGCTTGCAATGGAACTGGAGTCAACAAAAGATTTTAAATTTCTCTTTAAATACTTTCATGCTTATTTTTTTTGATTTTACGCCACCTTTTATTTCCTTTTTCTAGTAATTTTGATTTTGGCAATGACAGATTTAAATTAGTAACCATTTTGTAGTATGCAAAAGCATTCATAAAATGCTCATATAAGGAATCAGGATTAGAGTAGAAAAGCTTTTTATTAAACTTAGATAAGCTTAAAAAGGTCTGCATTGATAATTTACAAGAACTTTTGTAATCTTAAGAATAAAGATAAAAGCCTCTAATTGAGGCGGATGATTTGGACAATAATAGCACAATGATAATAGATTTTAAAAACTTTAAAGTAAAAAGGAAATTTTTATTGAATTATTAATAATCTGATTTTGAAAAATTAATTTCATCTCATGTTTCCTTTATAATTTATAAAAATTTTT